TTCATTCTCTAAGTATATTTACATTTCAATGACTGGCTGGATGATAGGTACATTCTAGGCATCATTAATAATTAAGCATTAAATAATTTAGAGGTTTACCTTGATTATTTGTTACACAGAGCAATTTAATCATTTCAATTTGGCGTCTACGGCTTATCGACATCGGTTAAAGAACCATTAAAAACTTAGGAGCACTGGCAGGTGCTTCATCTGAGTGTGGGGCTCCTCAGAAAGGCACATTCACAATTCCACAAGGGAGTGAAACCAAGATTGTCAGACCTTGAAGAGAACAAACTGAACAATCACCTACTGGATTGTAGTATAATGGTCCACAGTTTCCCACTTCTGTCGATTCGCAACATAGTGCACTCTTCATAAAATGCAATCTTTGAGTATCTGTCCTCTTGTCCGGCTCGGTTCGCACCATCGGTTTCGACTTCTTATAGGTGCATATTTTTGAGCAGTTCCATATCTTGATGAAACAGCTGTCCAGTGCTCCGAGGTTTTCAATCGTTCTCCAGTAGTACATGATGAATATCCGCTTAAAATCAATAAATTACAAACCTTCATATTAAATTTTATCACTGTTCCGTAATATGACTAGTTCCACATGTAAGTGTGTACTCTTGAGAATGTTAACATGGTAATGGCCGTCAATTTGATCTGCATTTGAACATAGCTCTGTATATAGTCATCTGAATTATTGATCAATATAGGGTACCACATGTATATCATAGGGTAATAGGAAAGCATTTCTGTATCATTTAATATACTTATTGAAAAAATAATAAAAATATTAACAGAAATTAAGGTTTATCTACCAATGTTGAGTATACATGTCTGCTTAATTTCAGTCAGCCAGGCTGTTGATAAGCTGATATTAAAGTAAGGTCTAGGAAAACTGATTCACGGCTCAAGTTGCCGTGCCTTGCACCAGCGCATAAAGATGGCAAAAAGATGAGATGAAAGACAGAGAAACAGAAAAGTAGTGTAGTCAAAAGTAGTAGAAGCGGCACAACAAATAAGGATATTTGATATAATGTTTAAGATGAAGATAATGGGTAGATGCGTCTACGTATATAATACCAAATATAACAAAATAACTTGGTTATATTCAGGATACACTTGCCTTAAAATGGCTATTTTTATTGTCAAGTAATGAAAGTGTTAAGTTTGTGGTTTCGTTAAGTGTACCATAAATACAGGTAAGATCTCAAAGCGAACATACATCAAGTTTACATGCTCTTTGAAACACTTCCTTGGATTTGAAACTATGGCTGTATGATAGACATGTCACTTCTAGGTACTGACTTATCCTCAACTCTTGTTAAATACTGATACTACACAAGATTCCACCGAGGTGACAAGACACTTTCATCTCTCTTTATTTGCAAGCAAATAATAGAAGATAACAGAAGTTGGCGAGCACTATGAATTCATGGGAGGACCGGTTTCGCAGTCTGTCTGTAGAAAATCTTAACTAGTGCGCATTTGATAGACTAACCTGTCAGTAAACTCTCAATAACTCAAAGATATTCAGGAACTCTGTATTCGAATAAAGTCGTATTACGTTGGAGAATAATTCAATTCATGGTATTTTAACAAAGCTCTACAAGGAACCTTATCGGTTAAGAGACAGAGAATTTTTCATTGAAATGGTCTCACTAGTTGATTTTCATCACTGGAAACATTAACAGCGTAACGTCAGTGAAGTCCAGCATTCAATAACCATGTACAGTTGAATCATATGTACGAAACCAGACGATGAAGCATACAAAGGCACTTCCAGATATAAACATATCCAAACCAGGGCGAAATTTGATGGTTTGGAAATATCTGAACCTTGAGTAAATAATGTTCATTACTTTTGGCAGCCATATTTCCCAACAAATGTAAGACAAAGCAAGTTAAACAACCTTTGCCCGTTTTACGTTCATTCACAAATACACTCACAAAAGTAATAATCCATTTAAGATTTTAATATCTACACTCAAGCCCTGACGTATTTATTTGCACTGTCCAACTTTAGTTCAGATGAATCCTGTAAGTAGTCAAAAACATTCCCAGTAGGTCTCAAAAGGTATAAAAAATCGGAATACTTAAAAGTTCTTCAGTTTTACATGCGTGATCATATTGCTTAGGTGATCTCTCACTCACTTTCAGTAAAATGCTCTAAAAGTAAGGGTTGCATGGTATTTTATTCGCCTGAAGACAGTCTAAAGGCAAAATTTCATCGTGACACTTATCTTCGTCAGCCGTCAGGTAATCCTGTCACCATACTGTTACATTTTTATCGGTCTTTTTCTATTAGCTATTGAGATGAAGTCTTTGCAATAGAAGATGATGTAGTAGCTTCTGACGACAAAGGTTTTTAGCGCATTTATTCTCTATTATTTATGTTTACTCTCTTAGACAGCCTAAGAATGTTGAACACTTTATGATGATCTTTGCTTTCGTAATATAATATAGAGATTTGTGAGTTGTTTTCTAATTTTAAGCTGATGTTAGTCATATAAAACAACTGTTTAAGAAATCTATACTACGAACCTAATTGTACCTGTTTTAAGCACATGTACCAAGAACCGTAAAAATTTGAATACACAACGAATAACTGGATGTCATTTCTTGAAGACATTCGAGAAAGAACTACTAGAGGTGCTAGTACTTGCTTAGCTGTTTTTGAGTGATAACCCAACCAGTCACTGAATCTGATGATGTGGGAAAAGGAATTTAGGGAGGAATTGTAGAATAAAAAATAAAGCATGCCTAAAATGTGTGTTCATATAGAGTTATCTCACATTGATTGACAATAATAGGTAAAATGTGAGAATTTTCCCTATTAAAATCACCCCTTACAAATTATATATAAAACCACAGCTTGGGTTGCCGTAAGATTCTAATTCTTACCGAACTATACACTGTTTATTTTATCACACCTTAAGTTAGCACCATCATATGACTTATAAATAATCCATTATTTCACCAGCATCCCTGCTGTTTACAGTTCAGCTTCAACATGTTGAGAAATCTCCCTGTGAACACAGAGTGGCTTTTGTTTTTAAGATGGCATGAGATTAATGCCATAAAAATTATTTTCGCACCTCAAGAAACATGTAGCTAGTAGTAATTTTTGATCGGGTTGAGCAAAAAATACAAGAGGTAAGAGGCTAATGTTTGAATTTGCCTTGAAATCATTGACGAGCGTTCAAAATCTCCTGGATGTCTTTTGAAAGTCAAACTAAGTTGGTGTAGTGTCTGACTTTTCCAAAAACATTCAGTCACAGTAAACTGGCCACTCTTCATTTGATATATTTTTCCACCAGTATACGGTGTTTTGCCAATAGACAATACAAACTATCACTGTTTTATCAGAACTACAGAATAATAAGGTTAGGTATTGAATCAAACACATCATGTTCATTGTAGTTTCTTGTACTCAAAATAGAGGACAGTTGCAGAAACTCATGGATAAATAAGGATAATGAACAACTTAAGTAATAATACTGGCAGTCAGAAAAAGAAGAATAAAACAAATCCCAGGTCGAAGATTAAGTTAAGCTTAGACAATTAAATAACCACAAACCTCTAACTGCAACAACGTTTGAAGCAGCTCATGGACACCAGAAATGTAAATAACCTAATCTGAAGAGCTTTTGATTAAATTAACCGTTATATTCAGGTTTTTCAAGCTGACTTTGAAAGCGATATGCAGAAGTTATGAAATGAAGGTAAAATATCCTCAAGAACTTGTGAAAACTGATCAAATCCACTTGCTTACTGAATGGATTGATTTCGAGAAATATATTTGGGGTGTAATTCCGGCAAGTTTCACTCTGTTTGAAATCCAATTACCAAATTTTAAGTGACTAGTATTCTGTGTTAAAGCCTAGTGATTCAAAAATAACAGATACTTGTTAGACATTCATCGTTGCATCCCACCTCAAGAAACACGTACTCGAAACGTGTAGTGGTATTTCTTTATAAGTATAATAATGTTAACAAAAAATATCAGCGCAGATGTAAAAAAACTAAAAAACTTGTTGTTGGATAATTGCAAACAATATGAATAATAATATCTTTTGATATATCATTTTATCCGAATTCATAGTTAGAGTCAGCACAACAACAAATCGGCCCCGATAAATTTTTTCCAAAAACATTACTCTTGACTTAAAGTCTGAGTAAAATCATGCTACCTAGCTTTGCGAATGTTCATAGCACTGATCCCGACACCATAAGGTTAAGAGTATTTATCCTACTGCCCCACCTAGCCTTCAGATAGAATATTCCTTTCACAAAACTTGATAACTTCATGAGGCACAGCAAGTGTCTGAAGTACAAAAACTTAAATAAAGACTTGTAGCTGGTGATGCAATCACTGAGATTCGAAGTCTTAAGTTCAGCTGTGTGCTCTCCTGAAAGATATTCTGTAAAAAATCGTCTCAACATAAATACGCATGTATAATGACAGACTAAATCTGCGATACGATTACCTGAAGTTGCGGAGATAGGTGCAATAAGTTTCAAAGTAGCAACTAGAAAAGTTTGGTACGCAACAAAAGACAGCCGACTGTTCGGTGGAAAAGATTTAAAATAATCAAACCTTTCTGGTAAGTCACAGTAATCACTCAGAATGACATATACGACAGTTTTCTCTTCACATATACATTATTTTGGATCTGAGGATTTGTGAGTTACTGGGTTCTTTCATCAAAGTTTATCATCAATAACACAAAGCTGAGAAACTTGTGATAAAAGAAAGGAGTTTCGGATCCTGAAGATAAACTTCATTAGTGACTTGCCATACATGTGGAAGATAAGATAAAATTAACAGAATGCTCAGTAGTACAGAAACTGCTGACAAATATGAATACATAAAATATGAGCAAAAGGTAATACATTATTACAAATAAACCGTCCTAGCATATATATTAACTTTAGCATATACATTTGGTTCTGCATGAAAATAAGAGTAGAGAAGTTATTCAACATGAACTCACGTATGATAGGCAAGGCTTTGGGTGCTTGAAAACTCAACCCCATGGAAACTGCTTCTTGAAGTGCAAGTTGACATCTTTCTTTTGTTAGATTGTTGGTAGATAAGTGCAAAGACGACTGCGTGGCAGTAATAAAAATAATAGCACGAGTCTTCTTAAGTTCAATAAATGAGACATCTTAATTTATATAGGTTTATTTCTCTCAACTAAATTTAATCGGCATTGATGATAACACGTTTTCAAGTACATATGTTGAAATTGTAACATATTAGCTGTTTGATTAAGGTTATAAATTCAGTAGGTCAAACAAAATTTACGTTTAAGGAGAAGTAATTCTCGTAATAGCAATTTCTTGATCCATTATTTTAAGTCACTGGAAAAGTAAGTAACAAAACATTTTTTGTTCTTGCTTTTACTCAAAAAATTGGAGTAGCATTTCTGTCGTTCAGTAGTGTTCTGGCTTTCGTTATTTTTGAGCCATCGAAAGCTACTCCTGATGAATTTAACTGTAAACACAGTATTCTAAAATGATCTTATCACTACTGCGGTGTGCTGCGTCGGTTTTTTTCTTTGGTTTGCACCAATGTTTTGTGCACCGAACAAGCCAATCGGTGGGATTGTTTGTTTTCGTGTTTTAGATAAATTTATCACTATTATTATGACTGATAATAATCCTTAATGGACCTTCTGAATACAGTTTCGCTGCCACGCAGTACATGTGATTGGATGATCGGTAAGGAAAGTCCCGTATGGTCTCTACAGAATTAAAACCGGTGAGTTATAAGTGATTCTGCAGAAGTACGTCTCGTTTGTTATTCAAGTTCAACCGCAAGCCATCTGCCACATTCATCTAACTGGCCGTAAGTGGAGTGTTGCCAGGAAAATCATCGCATGATGTTTCACGTAAAAATGTTGTTTTTGAGATAGTGTTCATCGCTGACGGACATCAGTGGGTGAACCATTAGACGGCTGTTTCTTCCTAGTGTGGGACACCTTGGCAGCATGAACCTATGATCCGTCTACGGATCGAACTCAGGACCTTCAGGCCTCATGGCGAAAATGTTGACCATTCAGCCACTGGGTGGGAGTTCAGTGGTCTACGATTTCCAACCTCCGTCAACTCGTGGTGCAGCGGGTCTATCGGTTCGAAGCCGAACGGTGAGATAGGTAGTGTCAATAATAAAATAGTGCACAGTATGTTAACAACACAGCTTTCGCGGAGGTTCCACCTGCTTGGTTAGTGTCATCACAGAGAAATCGTGACCAGGCCTAAGGATGTTGGGAGGGCTGTAGGCGCTATTTTAGTAGGCTGGTCAATAGCTAACTATGTTGTTATTGTCCATGAAGTGAGTAGCGACACACTGATTAATGCTGACCAGCTCCAAACTAACTAGTACCTTACCTTCTTGTGAGTAATGTTAGCAAATCTCAGATAAGAAAGCAAGCCAGAAGGTGAAAGTGGTAAAAATGTTATTCTCTGAGGGGATGGTGCGACTTATCTGTCTACAAACGACTAGACTACGAACTCTGAATATCTGATTGGTTATCAGGACAATAGAGTATCAAAGTGGATGCTGTCTAAAGGCAGATACCTGCAAGTCAAAACAAAACCAAGAAAATAAATCCCAGTCGCTCGCATCATAGATTCTTTGGCTAATATTTAGACATCGTGAATGCTTATTTATTTATCCTAGGGGTGGGAATTTTTGTTGAGAAGGCTCCTTTCAGGTTGTTGAAATCCTGACAACCATCAGTCCCCAGTGACAACCCTAAGATAGACATGCAACACCCTTCCTCATTCGGGGTGGCGTAGATCAAGTGCAGATCCCAAAAGCTGGTATGGCTGTGCCGGCATACGAAGGAACAAAACTCTGTCCCTAGATAAAACCCTTCTATCAGCAATAAGAAATGACCCAAAGCATCCTCTGTATTTCCTTAAGGGACCAAAAGCTGAAGTGGGAAGCATACTGGGGAGGATCGGTTCATGAAAAACAGGAACAACACCATTAGTATGCCCAGCATCCAAACGGATTCCGATATTTTGCGTAGTATAGCGTGTCTGTGATAAGCAGAATACAATATTATGAAACAATTTTGGCGAAACTCTGAAACAGCCAAATATGAGGCGATCGATGGCAAAATAATAAGAAGAGTCATGCCAGTGCTATTTTCTAGGAGATCTCCTATCTTAGAACCATGTTATTTAATCATAGCCAGGCATGCAAATTAAAAAGAATGTTTTCCCATATACTGGCTTCCGAAACTGCCAACTATCTTTGCTAGTGAGCACCTCGGTCAACGAAAGAAAATGGCGTTGTCTTTTAGTGCACCTTCCTGGCATCAAAATGCAACCAGGGCTGAAATAGAGAGATTGGATTGAATTAACTAAATATTAACTACATAAACCACTAGCTTGCTACGGATGCTTAAAACACTCTGAATTTTGCTTTAGCTAGAATACTTCGGAGCGGGCTTCTATGCCGTTTTGTGCTACGTTTGTGCTGGCCAGCGCATTTATATGTCATGCCGGGAAGCTGGCCGGAGATCTTGCCGCTAAAGCTCCTATTTACGAGAGATGTGTTGATGACGTCATGGTGACCCGAAAGAGGCATGAGCGTATGGCTTGTCCACAGAGAACACTTAACACTGTACAAACTCGTATAAGTCTGACCTGTGAGTAAAAGAATAATAATCGATAGTCGATTGATAAAGATATCGAATCATTGACCACAACACCTACAGAAAACGGGAATCCGTTAAAGTTTATAAACCGCAGCAGGGGTCAGGTACCACCGAAGCCAACCTTATACATGGTCCCCAAGAAAAGCGTTCACGTCACCCTACTAAACAGAGGGAAGCTGAATGGTATCATTTTGAGACGCAGGCCGACATCAGCCGTTAGGAAAGCCTATTGCGCAGCTAATCTTATCAGTGCAGAAGGAACTAATCACATGCTTCACCACAAACCAAAACACTGCATTGCTGATTACCTTACATCCCACTGTGGTTACCAATTTACGTGTGTGTGTAGCCACACATACATGGGGAGGAGCCATCGAGCCATGCGGTCGAGAGTCGGAGAACACGTGCTTAAATGGTCTGAAAGACAAACGGAGCGTGAAACCGTGATAAACGCCAGTGGGAGGCAGTCCTCTTCATCCGCAGCTAGGCGTGACATAGAAACAGGTCGCCGAGTTAATCTTTAGGCAGCTCTCAAAGTCTTATTTAGAAACGGTAAAGTACGTATACTGAGATTTGCGGAAGCCATAGACATAAACAAGTTGAAACTACCGTTAAGTGTACAGAACCAACTTGTTCTTGCACTACGGGTACCTTGGTAGACTTGATTTTCTTACCAAGATTAGGATCAACTGTGTCTTCTAATTGCACTTTCGAAGCATGTTTGAAGGTATCCTGACCAAAAGTGGACTTGATGGTTTGAAAAGACTTGGACGCCTAGTCAGCATGATTCGTTGTATAAGTTGTACTTTTACTTGCGTAATCCCAGCGTAGTGTATTAGAAAAAGTAACAAAATAATAATACAAAATATCTGTTTATGCTACTTGTTCTGATATATCACGTCAGGATTACACAAGTGAAAATACCCCTTATACTTTCGAAATATGTTAAGAGGAGTGATTGTTTCATCTTTTTCCATTTTGATACCAGTGACTGACATCTAGTCGCTGTTTGTATGCTACTGTGAAGTCTGGCTACCCAACCTGTTCACTTGTTTACGAAACTTCGTGTTGCTTCCATGTGTCTGCCTCCTGCAAATAAGACCACCATCATGTGTGGTAAGGAGGCAGTAAATAATGTGCTGGATCCATTTGTTCGGCGGCAACCAATTCGTCCCTTCAGTCACAGTGAGATCAACATTGTTCCGTACAACTGGACTAGAAAGACTGTTTACTGGGTTTTATACGCGATGCAATCTGCCGTTGCATCATGCTGGACATCCCTTCTTTTGGGAAAGAGGTATTGACTAGCTCAGATTTCGCTTTTACAAACTCATAAGTCTAACGTTTTCATCCCAGATATTGTTAATCAAATGAAATCAGAAGCATCACTTGTGAACTTTGTAAGATCCTAAAACTGCACCGTTTGCATGCACATATAAGTAAACGTTACCACTAGAACGACGTGGCTAAAACTGAAAAGAACACGACTGCTTCGTTTTGAGCATCTACGATGTTTGTATTCTGCACACTGATCCAGTCGGCAGATACTCATGTCACAAGTTTGTCATCTATACTGTAACACTAACAGAAACCGTAGTGCCTGGACAAATGTGACCAAGACAACTTCCCCTTAAAGGAAAGAAAAGATAGGACTTATTCGTGATGGTCGGCATCTGTTCAAGTGCATGGCAGGACCCGTTTGCTACAAGCCTCACAATCAAGCAGCAGTTGGTTTTCATATTTCCAGCCGAAATGATATTGAGCACGATAAACTTTTTACTACCTTCAAGGATATTTACCTTCTGTTAGTAGTCGTTATACTGATTACCTTCCAACCCTTGGGAGACACATCTACACCTCACCGAGTGGAAATTGTTTGGTAATCTAAAAGGCTGACCATGCGCACTGAGAAATAATAATTGCCTTCATCAAATAGATAAGCATAATGAAAAACCACCAACTGAATGATCAGTGACAGACTGTACGAGTCAAGCACATTACGAAGAGGAATACGGTGATCCCTCCTCATGTTGCATTCCTAAACCGAGAATTGAATATTGATTATTATTTATTTATCAGACAAATACGATCAGACCGCTCTAGGGATGTTACAGAACTCATGCGTAACAAAAGACATATATACCTGATGGTCACTTCATCACATATAAGCGTTGTTCACGCAAGCAAGAAAACCCATTATCTTGGACTTATCTTCCCTCCACAGTTGAGAAATACATCTAGTGCACCCTTCTAGCACCAAAATACAACCAGGGCTAAAATAAATAGATCAAATTAAATTAACTAAACAAACCCCTAACTCTCCTCCGGATGCTTAGGGTGTTTTAGGTTTTGTTTTAACAAGCATACATCCGAACAGGCTTGGACGCCATTTTGCACTTCCTTAGTGCTGGTTAGCACGCACGTACTCAGAGTCCCCAGCTTAGCCATACTAGCCAGATAACTTGGACAAAGTTTCCCCCCATGTGTCAACGTGACGAAGCCCGTAAACCGGCTTCTCTCGTGTTAAAATCTTTTTTTAACGCGAGAATAAAACATTTATCTATTTATTCATTACTATTACATTTACTCTAATTGAATACTTCTTCAAACATATTTCCAAACCAGTTCTTTGGATTCGTGTTTTGCTACCAGTACTCACACGTTGGGTAAGGTGCTAGTTAAGCAGGTACTAGAGCACATCCAGTTAAGTAGGGTTGGTCAAACGTTACAGAATTGTTACACACTCCTCCTACATATGTATATTTCTGCATTTACAAATCAACCCACCATCACAACTTCAAGGTTATCACTGCTTGCACACCTTATAACCTTGTCGTAAGCGCAAAGACATCTTCACGATTGCAGCAAAGCTGACACATCTCGCCTTAACCTGCTAAACAGGTCCCTTATGCTGTCTTCGTGTGAATCATTATAAAACCCTGCGCCTGACACCCTCGATATATCAAAAATTTGTCATTGCATAACAAAGGTAACAAACATTATCAACCATTAAGATACCTCACGTGCTGAATACAGCTGCAGCACGCGAGCGAAGTGACAACAACTGTAGCTCCATCATAAATTAGGTTGCGAATTTATTTCAAAAGCCTTCTTTGCAGGAAATGATGGGGAAAGTTGCTTTGGTGGTTGAAAATTCTAAAAAGCACTTAACTGATCTCCAGCCAAACCTATGATAGCCTAAGAGCTGCACTTAGCTTCACTGTTATGATGGCCTTTGAGGCCAGTGTTAACTAAACTCCAAGTCGAATACACTTTTTCCTCTTTCTTTACTTGTGCACAGGTTAACAACCTCAAGGAGTAATGATCCACGGATTGTAGACGCGGAGGCCGGTTAAGCGAAAACTTCTATCCTGTCAATAACCATTTGAACCATTAGATTTCGTAGTAGGGCGGTTAACGACTGGAACTTATGTTAACTCCCCCTTCAATGAAAAAAAGAGCGGATCTCCACAGAAATTCACACTGCTAGGGTTATTATGAGTTGTTCAGTCTACTATTCTTAAACTTGAAACTTTGTTTTAAACAGTCGGAGTTTCTCCAGGGGTTTCTAATCTTCCAAGGTCGGTTTGGCGATTATCCGTCCTACTGTCGTATTTATTCAATGTCATACAAGATTTCTACCTTTAAAGTTTCTGTACTTAAAGAGTCGTCCAATTATGTAATGCCATACCGCATCAGCTTTCGTCAGGTAAGCGTTTTGATGTAGGATCTTATCCACTGATGTATGCAACATATATATCGGTAAGATCGTTCGTAAACATATGAATCCTAAGTAATTATATACCCAGACGTTTTAGTTTAGAGACTCCTCCTTTTGCCTGTCGGTATGGTACAGTGTGGCAAAGCGATCTCGAGTTCGAAACAATCACTGACGGTTAACCGACACCAATGTGTCGTTTTCAGTTTTCACTTATTAGGATAGTCGGCTTGTTGGCCTTGGTTATGCTTGCAGAAGATATCTCTGTAAAGATCTGGTTTATTTTTCGAACTCTGACAGAAGGTGCTGATACTACTTGCTGAGGTAAGGAGTTCCAGACGTTGACTACACGATGGGAGAAACGCAGATTCATGCGCCCTCGGAGATAGTCAGTCCTAACAAAGGAAAAGATAGGACATACCAGTACCGAATTCATTATTGAGAATACGAAATGCCATAGGCACGCTGTGATTAATGGCCCCAATGATTATTTCCTTCACCTATGTTCAGTGTTCATCTATTGAGGTGGTTCCAATCTACAGACCATGATGGCTTCATGAGGGGATCTCTAATGTCCTTACAGTTGGTCTTGCTGTAGCAAGGGAAGGTATTGGGTATCTCTGATTCCAGAGCCTCCTTAATAATCATGGGGAAAGTTATTACTGCATGATCACTGAAACCAAGAAACGGTTGGATAAATATGTCCTCAGTGAGGTCATCGTTCGTCAAAACGTTGTCCAGGAACGATACATTTCCGTTAGGCCCCCGTTTAGCATCACCCACTTTCTCTGAAGTTTTTTGTGTACTTCTGTGAAGTGTGGCAACCTGAGCCAGTGCAATTCTGTGCAAGGTTCTACGTTGATTTTGTCAGTCAGTCACTTCCTCCGAGACCAGCAGTGTTAACCGCATTCTTCAGCTTGACTGTAGGGTCTGACGTGCCTCCTTTCTGTCTTAAAGACAAAGGATGGAGCGATGAAGTCGCCAGCGATGATTTCGGAGTCGTAATCTACAGAGGAAGTTGCCAAGATTGCCTTGTTGACCATTTCATGGGTGAGGGAGCTAAGGGGAGACTGGTATTTGACCCCGAACGGGTATTTAACGCGATGAAAGGTGAAGTAACACCACAGCATTTCTGAGAGCTGGATTAGAGCCATGTAGCTGACCACTCTTGCCTTTAAACGGGAGCCTACATAGATAGTCACTCCCACTCTCTCCCTGAGTTCTGTCCCTGCAGAAGTGTTTCATGCCACTGAAATTCATCTCTGTGTCAGAAATTTCCGGCGAGAGCCAGGATTCTGTGACGAATATATTAGACTGTAGTTGTTCGTGGAGCGACCTCATCTCTGCTACTTTCTCAGTCCGCTAACTTCTCTGTACATACATGTTGGGATGCGCCTGATGGGAAAGGACTGGTTGCATAGTTCTGCAACGGGGGATACTTACGTGATTGGGTCTAAGATCACCAGTCTTAGGATTTGTATCGCTCCGTCTTTTGATGCTTCACTTTCAGTGTGGGTGGAGACTGCAGTGTCAGGAGCTTCAGTACTCAATGTACCTGACTCAGACTTGTGCCTCTATGATAACCACTCACTCTAGAGGTCTCGGTGGTTACCATCTCTCTTCCTGCCTAGTGGGTCTTGACTTACTCTCAAGCGCGTACTAAGCCCCTCGTGCGGTCTTTCACGTTATACCATGTGTGTAGAATGTCTGTGAGGAAGGCATTTGAGTCCGATTGGATGACGAGTAGTCTAGGAGTGAGGATGGACTTCAGGTGTGTTGCTCTCGGCAGCCTGCTGACGCTGTTAGCCGGTATATTGTCGAGACCTTTATTTGAAAGCCATTGACATTGCTGGACCAATCTTTAGCAGAGCGGTTACTTGGCCGTTCTGGAATCCCATGTACCACCATAATGGTGTTTCTATTCGGATTCCAAACTGCAGATTTTCTCTCCTCCTTTCCCAATGACCATAGTTTGCCAGCATTGGCCCGAATTTTATAGGTATTGATAGTGTCAGGTTGGTGTGAGAGTAGAAGGGTATCTTCGGCTTCTTTAGCAGTACCCAAAGATACTCGTTAGGGTGGTGGCTTGTTTCGGGTGCCCGGCTTCCGCAAGAAAGGCGACAGTGTCACGAAGAGAGGAGAGAGTCCTAGTATCTAACACTAGTCAGCCCACATTTGGCTGTCAAACTATTCTCTCTTAACCAACAATGAGTCTTTCGATACATCCGCGTTGAACAAAATGATCAAGTTGGCCCTCCTGTCGTTTGTGTTGGTTATAGGTGACATGCCTGACTTCTCAGTAGTTTTGCTGTATATTTTTGGCTGGGTTTCTTCAAAAGTACAACAGACGGTGTCCTTCCCTGCGCTTGACATTCTCTGTGCCAAGGTGAAGGATACAGAAGTCCGACCTAAAGTGGTCTTCGTGCGCGGTGGTGTGTGCGTAGCTAAAGACATATCTTTGTTTCCGGGTTCCTTCGTGTAATCCCTTGATGTTGACCCTACGTTTTTCGAGGAAGCTGATAGCTTTTGTTAGGTGGAGAGTCTCTTTTAGACCCTTCGTATGGTGAGTGGGGAGCTTTCTGCATTCTGGACAGATGAACCAGAACCATTTGCATGATTGCCGCTTCATGAATTTACAATGATATCACGATACTTTGTTGTCACAGTAACAATGTACTTATCGGTAACTTAAGTTGCATGCGAATGCCTCATAGACTACCGATACGACTTTAATGCAAATACTGCAGATGTCATGGTGAAACTTGTTTTCCTTGTAGATGGTGCTGTGTCGCAGTGAACTGCTTGTGAATACCTTGATCCTGAACTTGCCACGCCATTTCCTCTTTTTACGCGTAGTCTTATCCACCCCCAGGAGTGGGACTACTTTGTGAAATTATTGCTACTCTGCGTCATCTATGTGGTAGCTATGGATATCCTAGTGTATGATCGCGTTGTCCGCGTCAGTACATAAGATCTACCGTTTTGGGCCGGTATGAAAATTACCAATAATAAAAAGTATTTAGGAGTGGTAGAGAGACCAAAGATTGAACACAACGGCAGGAATGTCTGAAGGAAAACAATTTATGTTTGTTTATCTGTAGATACTTGGTCTTCTGCACTCGGTCAACAAGTTTAACCGTGAACCCCAGATGTGTATGTGGAAACAGGAAAGATGTTTTCTTGGGAATAATCTCTGAAGAGAACTAAAGGCTAAGGCAGTTGGACAAGTGAAACAACTAAGAACCACTGACAAGAGGTGGATTGGTGGGTTTGAAGAAATAATAATGTTAGTTTTCTTCAGTTGAAAGGTATGCTGATAACTACGCCGTAGTCCAGACCTGGTATCTAGAAAAGTGTTGCAAAAGTCTGGTTTTTATAGGTGGGACATTCCAAACTAGAGTTTCGTAACGTGGGGAAATCTGAAATCCATCGACTTTCAATGCCTTCGTACATGTGCTTCCTGTTTGTTTAATACCTTAAATGACTTGGTTCACTTTGGAGTCGAATGGAACATGCTGGATGATGGTATGCGTGATTTTCTCAAGTATGAATCCTGAGTGGGTGTTCACATCCTGCCATACATGGTCAGCTTCTGAATCTATCTTCAGATACCTTTGAAGAGTTGGGATGTTGAGTCATTTAAAGTTCTTGCGACATCCGTTGACTGGTCAGGTTTGTTAGCTTTTACAGACGTACTCAAAGTTGATAACAAGATGATCTCTTGTCCAAAGGAGTGAGTGTTAAAGGCTCTTAGTTTATGAAGATGAAATCTAATCGAGATGGGGTTAGGGTGCCTTCACATCGCGTTACTGATCTCATATTATTTTGGTCCCAGTTCTTCAATAAGATTGGAAAATCGGGCTTCAGTTGAGTCACTGCTGAACGCATGATTTACAGAGTTAACATAACGATTCAGAGAATCACCTAGAATTGGAATGATCGTATCCTAGCTTGAGAGAGCAATTGATTACATCTAACAATTGGTTGTCGGACTGAAATTTTACAGATGACCTTGTATAAATAATAATATTTTTATTCTCATAAAGTGAATTTAACCTGATCTCATTATTTACTGAGCAACCTTGGACGGCTTTATAAAGCACCAGATAGACTCCTCAAGGCAGTTTAGCTCGCAAAGGAGTCTAGTGAGCTACAACATGAGAGTTGACGTAAAGTGCTACCTTGTCGCTTAAGCCCCCATGTCATTGTAAGACAGCGTGATGTTTGCAATAGCCGGCTTTTGATCCCAAATTCGGGGAAAAACCCATATGTCGGTAACAAAATAAGCAAAAGTATGGATACCTAGGTACTGTAACTCGTCGAGTTTATGCAGCAAACTTTGTCGAGTCGAACCTTGTGCACATTCATGTCGTAGGCAGTCAACTACATCTAGTTTGTGAGGGCTCAAACCTTGGTAGGTGGGTCGGTGTTCGAACCCATGACCGACTGGTTGAAGTTCAACTCCCTAAACCAATGAACCACAAATCCGGGAGCAAACTTTACGCATTTGTTTAGATGCAGTTAATACCCTCTAATTTGAGTCTATGTGCTAAAACCTCACTATCGTCTAATTTGTTGACTGAATCCCTAAATGTTGGTGCTTGGAGTTTGATTATGTATGGTTTACCAATTAAATGTTCTGCCCTCCAATTCTCACCTCGATGCGTTCTACCAAAAGAAAAACCAGCTTCATCCTGTTTCCATTGTAGCCTTTCATTTTCCGACCTATTAGGGCTGCAGACAATGTTTGCTTTCCCCAAATAGCTTCAGTGTATTTGCTACCATTTGGCAAACAGAAGCATTACTTGTAACTACCTCATAAAAATGCCGAGTAGAGCATACTTCTCGCTGTAACTATGAAACAGTTCATTGCAGGCGTGCTATGGGATCTGAAAAATTACTGTCTTTGGCATCAAAATATGATGGATAATAGACAATGTAATGATTGAGAACAGCTTCAAGACGATGCATCAGAACTGGGATCTTGGGCTACAGGCAACGGTGTAAGCTTTAAAATAGCGAATTGCAGAGTTACATATCTCCGAACTCTTGGAACTAGTAAACGGTACCATAAAAGGGTCATATTATTAGGCCTCCAAGGAGAAGGATTTGAGACTCAGTTTCTCTTTCGCTTCAGACACCAGCATGAACTACAAGAAAATGGTTGCAAAAGCAAACTCTGTCACACACTTCATTCAGAGACAGCTTAAGCCTCTTCTTCGTTGCTCTTAAAACCCTTTGTCAGTTCTCACCTTGATTTTCTTAAAACAGTACCCCTCCTATTGCTTAAGCGAGGCTTCAACCTTCTTAAGAAGATACAAAGAAGGGTAGTGAAATATCTCGTGGGGCTAGGAGGTAAACCTTATTCTGAAAGACTCCAACAGCTCGGTCTATTCATCCTAATCAGCATAGAAAGCGAGGCTGCTTGGGAGACTGACAAAATCAGTTTAGAACCTCACATACAAGTGCATCGGCTCAATTCGCCACACCATACAAAAAAAAGGTGAATACAAAAGGAGTGATATCAAAGTAGATAAAGTAGTGTGACAATAAACAATCTGAAGATAAAGGTTAGCGTGAATATTCAAGCTTTAAAAAATGTCAAGGAGTGAATACATCTGCGCCATTGTGATCGATTTTCATCCATGTCACCGAGTCCTCAGCCACTGATTCCTTTCGTTTCGAGGACCCCGACCAGACAGTCTACATTTCCCCACACGGCTCAAGCCAACAGTCAGGGACTTCGTCGACTGGTGCCAAGTCTTGGTCTGGCAACCCTGAACGCTCTTCTAGCCTAATTCAACTTCCCTTAGGATGGTATATCGAGGGAGATGGTGGCTTGGCATGCGCAGTACATATCCAAGCCATTTCAGTCGACTAAGGTTCACAGCCTCGTCAGTGGACTTCCCTGTCTTTCTTCTTACAATTCCCCTAACCTTAAGATTGCCCACATGGTGATTCCACCACACATAAACAATGCTATGAAGACATCTATTTTCAAAACCCAGCAACCGCTTCATATCGTCTACTTTTAATGGTCATACAACAGGATAGAAAAGACTGCAACACAGTATACTCGTCCTTTCACAGATAGCCGGGACATCTTGCGGACGCCACAGGTGACGTAATTTGGGAAATCCCAAACTGGTCTTCTGTATCCGAGCCGAGATTTCGTCAGCAACAAAACCTTTCGGGCTGATGCAACTCCCCAAGTAGGTGAAGTGGTCGACACATTCTACCACCACTCCCTATCATTAAACTGCGAGTACCTGCAGTACATCAGTCCTGGAACATCATCTTACATTTGATGATTACGAAGTGCATGTCAAACACGGCTTTCTGCCTAACACGTTCAGAAGACCCTGCATTTTGTCATCATCCTCGCCTAGTAGGACAATATCGTCTGGGTATGCCTAGTCAGCTAGATGACCTCCAGGGAACAGGTCAATCCCTATGAAGTCAGACGTTCATAGGGTTATGTTCATTCGTACATCTATGAAAAATTTAAATAAGAACGGTGATCGTAGACACTCCTGCCAAACACCACTAGATGTCAACTCACTTGGCGATTTTCCATAAGCCCTGGCACGGGTGCGTCAGAGTAGAGAGCTTTGACAAGCATTATATACTTGATCGTTACTCCTTTCACGGTTAGACACTGCCACAACACGTCACGGTAAACAGTCAGATGACGCCTTTAGGTCAAGAAATACGGTAAGTGTCGGTCTCCAGAATCTGTCGGAGGGTGAAAATATGATCGATGTACCCTCGACCTGATCTGGAACCTACCTGGTTTTCTCGAGTTTGCTGTTCTGGAGCTCCAGTTAGGCATAGGATAACTATTGATTCTAGGATCTTGGACATAATATTAGTCAAGCTAATTCCCCTATGTTTGTCACAAGGTTTCTCCCCCTTCTTATAAACTGGCATGATCAGTGAACTAGACCGGTCTAACGGGAATACCTCTGATTCCAATACACTACCTGATAACAGCCTATAGGTTTCGTTGTTTTGGTATTTTTATTTCCCAATAAATGTAAAAGATTGTAATCGCAGAATGTTTGGAATAAGACTAGACGATTAAATATATAAGATTTTACAAATGGTTGCTTTTCTCGCTAATTCACAAACTAATAAGCTTCATTGTGTTCAAAGTGTCGCGCAGATTAGCTGAACAGAGAAATGTATTCACCTTTTTGGCGAGAACATGATGAAATTTTTCCGAAACGTGCTTCATTCTTTGTTCATCTTATAATACAATGAAGTAGTTTGCTTTCTTATCCATATATTTCAGTGCTACTAACTTTGCGGTAGATATATTAATATGCTTATAGTTGAATGACAGTGTGTGAAGCAATAACCCTGCAATTCAATACTGGCTAAAATATTAGTCACAGATCAATAAAGCTGCTTACCAACGACGGTCGTTGGCTGTACAATGTTATTGTTAGATATAAATGTTGAACAATGCGAGAACTTAAAAATAAATCAGTTACTCGCCTGTTTTGGGTTCGGACATGGTTGGTTAAATGAAAATATCTATATCAGTTGATTACCCAGCAGTCTAAAGTATTATGAACGGATTCGTGCACAGTAGCGTGTTGGTAGTATTCGACTGTTATGCAGTGAAGTAGTACTGAAACATTTCTGTTACACAATATATAAGTAAATTTTCTTGGTCTTCTTCAAAGCTCAGTTGTTGAGCGATTTCCACGTATATTTGCGCTTAGCTTGACAGCAGTTTGGTTTTCTAAGGCTTTGTTTCTGTATCCGTTGAAGTAATACTCAGCACGCAGTTGTTTGTATTGGGTAACCAATATAACTACTGGAGAATTAGGACTTTAGGTTCTAGAATGTGCAGGCATAAAGGGGTAACTTCAGTAATCCTATTGTTTACCATGGTATTGTAAGTCGCTAAAATATTCCAAATCTGCTTTCTACTGCGAAACACTTAATGCGTTTAGTATCATTTCATAACTTGGTTCGCATTCCAATTTAGTCTACACTGTTTATGCATGCGTTTTGGAAAGGCTAAAATAGTGTATGTGGTGGCCCATGATGCTGTTCGATCAGTTATGAAAAATAGCCGATATTATTTTTGGACCATTATATCATCATTCTTCGTGTAGTTCTACTAAAGTGCAATCGTCTGTATTTAACAGTTTTGGAAGTTATTTAATGTTGTACAAACAACACAAGCATCTGACGATCAGTTCTATACTTTTGCTTTGGTTTCCATTCCCTATTATAAAAACTAGGAAGCATATGTATTCAGAAAAAAGCACCTCAGCGGTTAACCGAATCACAATTATTCATCACACTTTCTATGTGTAATGTAATTTAGTTGATGTAGGTTCAGGTTAATTAAAGATGCCAATCTCTTGAGATTTATATCATTCTAATTGTTAACTTGGTTAACCTGCTTTTGTTCTCGTACACGAAAACACCTTCCAAGATCGCTCAAGGGCGATATGAGTGCGTGTTTAATAGATCAGTGGAAGAATATTTTTTTCATTTGATGATTTTCAAATAACTGTATAGGCCAAAAAAATCAAGAATAACTTGTGATAAAATTAGGAAAGCTCTGAATTGGTCCCACGGTTTCACTTTAATTAGCTTACGCCTAAGATTAGCCTCATTAAAATATTGACTAAACTGCATTCTGTCACCAACCATGTCGCGTTACTTATTTATAGGATGGTCGACTACGTACATGGGATGGCATCTTAGCTCACGACAGGTTAGTTATTTTATTAGATTTCCTAATCTGGTGTAGTGTTTCAGTACTTTTGTATCATGCTGAAAAGAAGTCATTACTTTTTGTGAAGCAGTTCCGTCCAGGTGGGTCAGCATTTTCCCGTTTTGCTTGTACATGAAGAAGACATCGTTTGTCTCTTTCAGTGGGTGTAGTAGGCCCAAAATTTGCAGAAGTTCGTCATTGAGCTAATGCTAGTACCTAGTAAAATGAACCTATACTACATGGTATTTGATGTATTTAGGGTATTTTGTCTAAGTTGTATACTACACAAACTAGCGAAACGTAATTTGAAACCTACAAGAAACGTCACTTTATAGGTGGCGTGTGTAGGTAGGTAGCCTCCATTTTTAATTATTGACAGAGTTTACCGAAGGGAAAAAATCAAATACTCAGTACTGTCGCCATTTTTGAGTTTTGTTAAGGTGGGGGGCTTTTCACCATTGCTTTTAAGATGATTGTCATTTTTATTAAAACAGGAAGTCAAATTTGTAGCAAACATTTTTATCGGAAGTTTATGGAAGCTGAGAAATTAGTTTCAAAAGGATCTAACTGAATGCCTTCTGTTAGACAAATCAGCACTTTCACGAATACTACGCTGTATAAGAAGTGCTTTGGTTAGCTAAAAATGTACTGTTCAACTGAACAATTAGATTGTTCTTGTATTCAGGAACATGATCCAGGATATTAAGCACACAACATGCAAGATCGGGATCCTGTTAAATTGCAAACATTTCAGAGGGTTAGACTGATATGCTTTTAGTTTGCATGCTTGTACAAATTTCATGAAAGCACGCTCACAGCAGTTTCACAACCTTGTGCTGCCTCGCGCATAAATCTACTTGTAATTTTACTGATTACAGGACCGCCATGTCTCGGTCCTTCAGAGAGTTTTTCGCTGGCAGGCTCACGAGTCTCAAAGTAGGGTCAGGTAGCTGTGCATTGCACTCAGGGCTTAAGTAGTTTTTCCACTATGATAAAAGCCATATTGGAAACATATTGGAAGCCATATTGTTCTTCTTTTCTGTCATTCATTTGTTTCTCTTTGTTCTATAGTTTTATATCTAGGCAGTTATTGGTTATTCAAGTAACTCGATTTTTGGCGTTTGAGTGGATTTTACACAAAGCAGCAATGTCGCGAATTCACTAGTCATCGAATGTCCCATATTTTCTTTAGATTTTACCTATCCGTTTGTAACAAACTGACTTAATGAATGAAATCTGATGTAAATGAAGTTGAAAATGGTTAATCGAGTTTTTGTAAAATTACCATGTCTACAAACCTGGGTGCAATGCTGCAGGTTAATATTCCTGACTTCTTCGATAATGCTGTGAGATACCTAAAGAATTATCAGTAGTTTAACTCATCACTTCTTGGTGATACTGCGTTAAGTGGAATTGGTATCAATTAGCGAAGTGATATAGGTCTATCATAAAATTTTTTACTTGCTTTTACTTTTAACTTCCACACTGTCTCATTGAGTGACTGAAAGTGAGAAAATAAATAAGGATTTACCCGAACAATTCCATTGTCAATGAGGCTTAGTGTTGTACTGATCCTGCTGTAGGAATAGTGGTAGACAGCTGGCACCCTACATCAAAAGGTTAGCAAAAGATACTCAGTTTCCACAACGTTATCCTAACTCCATCTGTGTGAGAAGGTTCATATCAGCTGCCTCTGACTACAGAGAGGATCGAAAACGGCTTAAAAGTAATTTGACTAAAAGTCGTCGCACTGACCGCGAGCAGTGGTAGATGACGAAAGCGAGACAGATGCTAAAAACATAAGCACTAGGTAATATTCGGTAGTTATTTAGGCTTATTAAGGATGCTGGCAAGAAAAAGACGACGGCCAGTGAGACCATTACCGAAAAGAATCTGTGTGTGATCACCTCTCGAGATAGGTGGCTAGAATGTTGAGCGGAATTCTCTGAAGATGAGTTCAGCTGACCTATAGCCACACTTTAGTTGTCTAGCACCCAGCCCAGACCTGAATGAGACACCAATATCGACCACCGAACTCTCCTTATAGTTGAGAAGAATGCTTCGAACCTGAAGCAATACAGAGCAGCAAGACCTGATGGGTTGTCACCAGAAATTATAAGGGAGGTAGAAAATTACTTAGGTGACTAACGAAGATTTTAGTGTATGTTAATCAGAAGTAGTCCCATCAGACTGGTCTGGTTCGTTAATTTTTCCAGTCTACAAAGAGAGAAAAAAGTTTCCCGTTGACAACCAAAGGGGAATCATTCTCACTAACATTATGCCCAAGATCCTGGAGTTTATAGTTATCTGATGCCTGCCTAACCGGATCTCGATAACAACAAACTCGAGAAAACGCCATTTGACTCTGTTGACCATGAGGTATTTTGGTATTGTCTGACTGTGAAGGGAGTACCTAGCATCTATGTAGTGCCAATTGAAACTCTCCACTTGAATTCATACAACCCTGTAAGAGCTTATGTAGTTGTCATCTGGAGCAACGAAAACCAGTAGTACTTACTAGGAATATCCGCTATCACCGTTCTTGTTATAAGCATGCTAATGGGCATATCCAATTTTGCAAAGATCAAGTTACCGTCAAATAGAAAACCTGTTTATGTTTGATGCAGATGACGTAGGACTATTAGACAAAGATGCCGACAAAATACAAAGCTTTCGGAACGTGTTGAGGAAAAATGCTGAGCATGTTCGTCATGCGTTTTGCATCGGGTAAACGTAAGATGATGCTTCAGTACCTCCAGCTAGTCTTAACTTAGTGATAGCAAGTGAAGTAGTTGCATGCGTTGATTAATTCACTTTCTTGAGAAGTCGCATCAGTCCGAGTGGGTTGGTTGCTGACATAGTGTCAACTTGGATACATAAAGCTCATCTAGCACTTCCCAACTTACGTCACATCTGGTGTCAATGAGATATCCAACTACCCATCAAAAGACACATACTCTACACTTCAGTTCGCTCTGTCTTGTTATACGGCTGTGAGATATGGCTGTTGCAGGCAGATTTGATGCGATTAGTGGTTTTTGAGAGCACTGCTCATCATCATCATTATCAACATAGGACCAGGCATTACTGCGTAACGGTCCGAGTTGCCACACCTCATATCAGCACATCAAGTAAAAAGGTAGTGAGGTGAAGGATGCAGATAAGTGAATGCAGTCAAAAGAAATATAAAGTACGAGAAGAAAGGAAAGAGGAGTGACAAAATAGTGAGATTCGGTATAGCGTTGTTAAGATGAGGATAATGTGTGTATACATCTGTGCCACTGACTTCGGTTCTGAACCATATCACCTAGGGTCTCCAACCACTGGTTCCTCTTGTCCCGTGGACCTCAACCACCTAGTCTGCATCGTCCTACATGGCTTAAACCAACAGTCAGAGACTTCATACATTGGTGCCATGTTTTAGTCTGGCCACCTCGGGCCTTTTTCCAGCCTGGACCCACCTACTTCGGCCAACATTGTGTGACGAGGCAATCGGTGACTAGGCATACGTAGTACCTGTCCCAACCATCTCAGTCGATGAAGGTTCACAACCTCGTCGACTGACTTACCTCTTCTCCCCAAAACTCTACACCTGACTTCTGCATTACTCACATGGTGACACCACGGAATACGTCCTATACTACGAAGGCAACGGTGGTCAAACACTTGAAGCCTTTTTGTATCCTCCACTTTCAATGGCCATGTTTCACAGCCATATAGTAGAACAGAGCGGACCACTGTGCAGTACACGAGACCCTTAATAGACAAACGAATATCATGGCGGCGCTATAGGTGGCTTAAATTGGCAAAAGCCAATCGAGCCTTTTGTATCCGTGCAGAAATCTCATCGGCAACTAACCCACCGGGGTTGATCCTACTTCCCAGGTAAGTGAAGTGGTCAACACACTCAACCAATTCACTCTCTATTGTTAGCCGTGACACTGCTGAAGACCAGTCCTGGAGCAAAAATTTACATTTGGGTGGTGAAAATCGCATCCCAAACATTCTCAAATTCCCACTCAAAGTGTTCAGAAGACTCTGCATCTTGTCAGCTTCTTCACCTAACAGGACAATGTCATCTGCATATTCTAGATCTAAAGTAAAATTCACCTGTGATTGGGTCAACGTCTGTGTAATCAGGTGATGAGAGGGAAACCTCCATAAGAATATCTATGATAAAATTAAATAAGAATAGGGATAGTGGGCATCCTTGACGGACACCACTTGATGAGTAAAGCTCCCTGGACAACTCGCCATAGGCTCTAACACACCCACAAGTGTTCGAGTAGAGAGCACTGCTCATATATATTGGAATCGCTAGATGAATAATAGTAATGAGGTTAGGCGAAGGGTACTAGGCAAAGAAAATTGGAATACACTCAGCAACTATATGCATGTTTGTGCAGTAGACAGTGAACTACCTAACTGCGCGGAGCGAGGTTCAAAGCCGTGACTCATCAGTTGAACGTAGACCAGCGCGAGTCACAGCTACCACCACTAGGCAAGGGATGCAATGTTCTGGATCTATGCTGACTTAGATATATTGTGCATGCCAAGCCACCGCATACCTCGCTGTACAATGTAGGATTGAGTTGAAAGTAGGCTCAAAGTAGCCAGACTAAAACAGAATATCAGTCGATTAGGTTTCTGACTGCTTTTCTGGACTGTGTAAGGAGGGGCAGACTGCCTGGTTAGGGTCCTCGCATTGATAAGAATGAAGGCTGTTGGTGACATGGTTAAAAATCGGTCACATTGTTGTAGATGTATTCACTCTTTGATGCCTTCTAAAGTTTGAAGATTTTCACAAATTTGTTTTTCAAATTCCTTATCCTCCTACTTGTTCGTTGTTCGCTGCTTCAACTTGAACCAATGCGCTTTTGTGTTAGTTTCTACCTTGATTTTTTCTTTCTTTGAATCAATAGCGGATAGTTGAGAGTTTGGTCAGAACAATGCGGGACTGGGGTACAATGTTGATTACTTTTGGATGATAGTAGTGATAGGACACGTCATTGAATGAAGTCAAATTCTTTAAATGCCAAAAGTCTTCTCAGAGTAGAAATAGGTTGTCGGCTTTTCAATTTTTTACCTACTATTTGTGATTTTCAAGGATTTCGTTTCCTTTCCATTATAATTATGCGTAAACCAAGTAGTAGTGGATGTTCGGCAGTAGTCAACGAGAAGTTTTGAGTCTAGGTTTCATTTTAGCTTTTACTTTGTAATATTGGGCTATTGATTTCAGCCGACTGGATAGCATCCTAGATGCTTATACGTTAGTTGTGGCTTCTGACCCACTACGCAGATATGTATGGAATCATTATAGCGCTTTTCATTTCCCCTCATTGATGCTCATCTGTGATATAGATAAATTTTATAGCTTAGCAAAGCCAATCCACATCGTCGACTACCACAGTTTCAGGTATTCCTACTGAGAGTCACTTAGATAGCATATGTAGAAATTCACTTAAGTAGTTATCATTTTTGTTTTCTATGTGTATATTTAACTTTTTTCTAAATACGTAGTGCTGAATGCATTATTTCATTCCAGTTGTATACTATACAAAGTTGAGGGAACTTGGAATTATTTCTAGTCCTATTGATGGTGAAGTCGAAACCAATCAAGTTGATCTTCCTTCTAGTGAACTTGGCGAAACACTGGAACTGTGTGCGGGGTTAATTGATGGGGTACAAAATAACCCTAAGTTTTACGCAGTTCAAGAAGTTTTGGAAGAGTGTGGCTTTAAAATTAAAGAAGAATATTTACGTCTAATAAATTCTTTCTAGTAAGTTACTTGTTAATAAATGTACTGATGTTTTATCGATTTTTAATGAGAACAACCTAAGGAAAGATATCCAAGTTAGGTAGTTGATCTGTAATAATATAGCATTTTCTGCCAAACTTACAAGCAGTTATAATTAGATTGCGTGCAGAAGGTCTACATAAGGGAAACACATATCACCTGACTTTGTAAACTTGCATCTAGTTAGGTGACTTGGACAGTTTTATACTTTTAATTGTAGTTGACTCACGCTGCAACTACAATGCTGATGACATTTACTATTCAGTTATATCATGGTAAAGAAAACGTGATTAAAACTCAAGATCATTGAGCTTTTCTGGGATAGTTAAAGTATAGTAACACTTATGGTCTTATAGACTTAAATCTAACCCAACTATTTAGTCTAGTTACCGAATAATCTCAAAAAGTTCAAGAGATACTCTGTATTACATAGTATGCTTTAAAAAGCAAGTTTTATTCAAAGATATTTGGCCACAATGTTCGCGACGTGATGTAACTTAAGAAGAAAACGCGAGAACAATAAGTCAACATGGGACATGGCATTACGGGTGTTATAATTCATGTTATCACATCTCATTTCAGCACATCAAGCGAGAATGCATCAAGATGAGAGATAAGGGAATAAAAGTGTTGTGAAAAAAAAGCCAGGAGGAACAAGAGGATACTGAAATTCATCATGATGATTAAGATGATGTGCGGATATGTCTACGTCATAGAAATTGACTCTGTGCCATATCACTTAGTCTCTGACCATTGGTTTCTTTTGTCACACAGACTCCCTCTAGAAAGTCTACATTTCTCCACATGGCTTAAATCGACAATCAGAGATTTTGTGCACTAATGCCATGTTTTAGTCGGATCACATGTAACTTCTTTTCAACCTCAGGCTATCTCAACTAGTGTAACTAGATGGGGGATGATGGTGACTACGTATACGTAACACATGCTAGCCATTTATGTCGATAAAGATTTAAAACCTCATCAAGTGAATTTCCTCTTCTGCCTAAAATTCTACACTTACGTTACTGACGTGATGACACATGGCATATGCTACGAAGGGAACGATAGTTGAACATCTGAAGTTTCCACATATCCACTAACTTTAATGCCCGTGTTTCACAACCATATAGTCGGACAGAGCGAACTGTAGCACGGTACACTCGACCATTAATAGGCAGCTAGATCTTACAGCGACGCCACAAATGGCGTAAATTGACGAAGGCCGAGGGAGCCTATTGTATGCATGCGGAGATTTCTTTGGTCATTAGCCCATCAGGGCTGATCCGACTTCCCAATTAAGTAAAGTGGTCAACATATTCAACCACTTCACTCCCTATTATCAGACAAGGCACTAACGCCGACTAGTCTTGGAAAAGCAATTTCCACTTGGATGGTGAGTAACGCATTTCAAAGATTCTCAGTCAAGGTGTCCAGAAGACTGTATTTCATCATGGTCTTTACCTAACATGACTATGTTATTTGCGTACTATAGGTTTACTAGGGAGCCTCATGTGACTAGATCGATCCCTGTAAAATGTCGAACGAAGAGAAGGAAAATGAGGACTATAAGTGTTATCGTTCAGCGTCGGGCTTACTGGCACATCCATAAACTGTCTTCGTATTGATAGTTCTACTGGACTTTACTACTTTAATCCTTCTTCTTGAGCTCTTTCTACGACTTCCTACCACTTTTGAGTGCGCTCTTCATTGTTTCTCTACCTTTTATCGTAGTGCATTCTCGAGTGATGTGCTGAGATTATGTGGAGGAATTCGTACTATAATACATTAATTACTAGGTCCTATGTTGGCATTAACTGACTGATAACCTCAAGAAGCAAGTGTTCACACCAGCATAGCTCATTGAATCATTGTTACATGCAAACAGTTATCAACTAGAATCCCCTAACATTAATTCACAAATTTAATATAAAAGTGAGTGACATGAATAATTGTGCTATTTATATGACCATTATAATGTCTTGGCTTTAGTGTCTACTATCGGTTACACATGGTATTTTTTTATATAAAGATTAATGTCTTAAAAAAATTTAATAAAGTTGTATAACATACACCTTGCTTGTAAAGGAACACTAATTCAATCACACATAGCTTTTCGTGGAGTCAGGTTAAGTAGACTGCAGAGAACAGAGTGGAACGGCGATGTGCTACTGAAGCCCTACGTTCCACTAGGAACCCAAAGGACAAATAATAATAATATAATAGTAATAATAATATATCTTTTCGTACGCTCTACATTTCTCTTAACTATATGAAATTCAGTCACACTTGAACTCGACGCTTTCTAAATGTACACTGCTTACCGGCAATGAGGCTATCTGAGATCTCGCGTACACTTCAATGATGGATAAATATTGGTAAAGTTTTTGAATACAGATGACGTATTGTTATGCTTTCGAACGCTAATGGTTATATATATTCCGAAACGAATATAATACGTGCGCTTAGCTGACAGCTAACTTGGTACGCAAGAGACACTGACTGCAACCCAGGGACGAATATAGAGAAGACCGAAGCTGGCAGATGGGAGAGTGTATTACTCCGAGAATATAATATAATAACAATGAATCAATCCAAAACACGTGAATAAGTACACACATGAAAAATGACCTTGTCCTCAATTTGAGGCATTTGCATAGTAAGAGAAAAGATTAACCAATTAGCGATTTACATTACAATGGGGGCAGAAAACAGACTATTAGTCATACTCCAAGTTGTTATTCATCGTAGACTGACATCAGTTGGAGGAACAAAGGAAACCTGGGAGCACTGGACAGCTGTTTCGTCACACTAGTATGGGACTCCTCAGCAGTGCTCACCCACGACCCCGTCAAGGATCGAACCCGTGACCTTGAGGTTCCATGTCCAGCACGTTACCATTGAGCCAGTGGGTCAGAATCGAATGCTCCATGTTTCCAACTTCTGTTAGTCATACCGTAAAATGGTATGGGAATGACATGTTAAAATGTTCAGATCGATAACAATGTTTTATACAAAACTGGGGCATCACAACACGTATTAAGTACGATTTTGACCACATAGTTAAATCGACATTTAAGTAGTGTATCAGCTGGGATTTCGATCATTTTGATCATTGTAAGAAAATATAAATAATTTACATAACAATGGGAATACATTATTATTTTGCACGTAGATAGTCACACATATGGTTTAAGTAATACTTAAACCATAGAATACTGTGTAAGTTTCTAAACTAGGTTAGATCAACGTTGGTATACAGCTGATGACTCTTACCTATCCACAATCCACTCTATCTTATAAATGACATTAAATAAAAGCGTTTTGGTGGAGATCTACTGCACTCAGCACAAAAAACAAGATCCGGATTTTTAACACTAATGTTAGTCAAGTCAGTGCTTCTATATGATTCAGAAACTTGGCGTGTCACGAAAAACATTTCCAACAAACTACAAACATTCATCAACAACTACCTACGCTCGTAACTGAAGATGAGATGGCCAGAATAATAAGAATAAGCAACAAGGAACTCTGGATAGTGACGAACCAACGAAGCAAGAAGCTATCATCCAACAAATATGCACTGGAAGAAAGTGGAGATGGATTGTATTGTATTGGACATACACTGAGAAGGCCAACTGGGGACATCACGTGCCAAACCAGGCCCTCGAGTAAAACCCAGATGGGAAACGACGAGTTGGGCGTCCGAGGTGAGGGTTACGAGGAGGAGACCATGTGAGGAAGAAATGCAAGCTTGTGGGCAGTCGTGATGCCAGGTCCGATAGACTGCAGAGAACAGAATGGAATGGAGACATGCTACCGAATCCCTATGTTCCACTAGGAACTCAAGGGAAAAATAAATAATAATAAACAGCTTTTTGTCTTATCTTCCTAACAGATTGCATATATATGTATGTATTGGCGCATTTATCTTGCATTGATGATGAAAGTTCAATTTCGATAAGGCTATTAGAAGATGAAGATTATCTGAAGTATGTGGTGTGTATTTACGCAATACATTTCGAACAATCTGATCACTGACACATTTATTTGTAAAGTCAATTTATCTGTGAAAATGAATTAAATAAGTCTGTTTTTCAATCCATTTAGATATATGTTCACCTACTTTAGTCTGTATTGAACGATTACTTCTCCCTATATATATGTACCCTTACATACATGTAAATTGGTAAACACAGTGGTATGTGATGTAATCATTTATGCAAAGTTGAGGTTTGTGGTGAAGCAGGTGTTTTGTTGCCTCAACAATGATTAGCTGAGCTGCATAGTATGTTTTATTGATAGCAGATTTTAATCTCATATTATTCATTTCCCCTCTGTACGGTACTTTTAAGCAACATATTTTTGAGATGAATGAGGATTTTTTTTTAATTTAGAAGTAGTATTCATCATGGACTCACATCAGTTGAGGAACCATTGAAAATCTGAGAGCACTGGATACCTGTTTCGTCCTAGTATGGGACTCCTCAGCAGTACGCACCGACTACCAGGCTAGGGACTCACTAGAAACCGACCCAGTGGCTGAATGATTAACGCGTTTATCGTGAAACCTGGAGGTGCTGAGTTCGATCCCTAGTCGGATCGTGTGTGTGTACTGCTGAGGAGTCCCATAGTAGGACGAAACAGCTGCTCAGTGCTCCCAGATTTTCAATGGTTCCTCAACTGATATGAGTCCATGATGAATACTACTTCTAAATTTATCTTTCTTCGGGATAGAAGAAATTATAGTCTTCGAGGTTAATTGTTTTCTACAACAGTTCACAAACTGTAATGGATATCCCATTTTTCATTTTGAAAGTTCATATTGGTTTGCTTTATATTATTTTTCGTCTTTTTATTCAACTTATGTTTATTCCGAGACCTCAGTGTTTGCAAGAACTGGCGCGAAATCACCCTCCTATCCACCCCAAGTAAAATATTAAGCCGCATCATCTTGGAGAGGCTAAAGAATGCACTGGATTCAAAACTACGACCGGAACAGGCTGGCTGGCTGGATTCAGGAAGTAGAAATCATGTGCGGGTCAAACTGCAACGCTACCCCATGCATCATCAGAGAACAGAGTATAGAATGGCAGGATGGCAATTCTCTACCTCAACTTCATCGACTTTGAGAAGGCCTTTGACAGCGTCGATCGAGAGGTAATTTGGAAACTGCTTCATTACTACAGAGTACCGCAAACCTTTATTAGCCTCATTCAACAACTATATGAAGATGCCACATGCCAAGTGATTCACAATGGAAAGCTCAGTGATGCTTTTGAAGTGAAGACAGGAGTGAAACAAGGTTGCCTACTATCCTCCATGATATTCCTGATTGTGGTGGACTGGATCATGCAGCAAACAGTAGGCAGCGAGAAGAGGGGGATACGCTGGCTGGACTGTGGAAAAGAACCTAGAAGATTTGGATTTCGCCACTGATGACTTGTGCCTGATGTCACACAAACTTGAAGATCTACAGGCGAAAACTAACAAGTTGACAGAAGAGGTAGCGAAGACGGGACTTCAAGTGAATATAGAGAAGACAGAGGTGATGAAGATACCGCACCACCACCATCAACAACAACAACAAACTCCAATCACCGTCAACGGGAGAAACTTAAAGGAAGTAACCTCCTTCACCTATCTAGGAAGCACTGTCTCAACTACAGGCGCCACAGGCACAGACGAGGATGTCAAAGTGAGAATCGGAAAAGCAAGACAGGCGTTCATTAGCCTGAAACCAGTGTGGAGATCTTCTGCACTCAGCATCTGGAACAAGATTCGGATTTTCAACACCAACGTCAAGTCAGTGCTTCTGTGTGATGGTTCAGAGACTTGGCGCGTCATGAAAGGCATTTCCAATAAACTACAGACATTCATCAACAACTGCTTACGCTGGCTCGCTACTGAAGATCAGATGACCAGAAAGAATAAGCAACAAGGAGCTGTGGGAACGAACCAACCAAGAACCTATCACTCAACAAATATGCAGGAGGAAGTGGAGATGGATTGAACATACACTGAGAAGGCCTACTGGGGACATCACGCGTCAGGCCAGTCACTCGAGTGGAATCCCCATGGGAAGCGACGAGTTGGACGTCCAAGGGTGACATGGAGGAGGTCGTGCGAGGAGGAAATGAGAGCTTCTGGGCTGTCGTGGAACCAGGTTCAAAAGATCTCAGAGAACAGAGGTCACTGGAGACGTGCTAGTGAAGCCCTATGTTCCACTAGGAACCCAAGGGACTAATAATAATAATAATAATAATAATAATAATAATAATAATAATAATAATAATAATATGTTTATTCCACTGTTAAGTTATCCATATCTTATCAATAATTTTTTTCAATTTCTTAGTACAAGCGTTGGTTTGACAGGAACTAAAATGATGTTATATTATACAGAAGTTCATGAATATCAAAAAGTGCCTAATGCTGGTGGTGGACTACATGCAGAAGGTGAATATATTGAAGTTGTTGAATGGCCAATTTCAAAACTTGAAGAATTTTTTCAAAGTAATAATTCTATGAAGCAGGCTATTTCAGTTACTTTATTATATGCTGTAAGTTGGTTTAAAGAAAATATTTTGCCTACTTTATTGTCGGATAAAAATATAGCATAATTAACGGTGTATTCATTCTGCTTGACTCTTTAATTCCTAAAAGAGAAAACATTGCTTAAAGCTTTCATTGAGAACAAGAAATATATTTCAGCTTTTTTGCTTTGTATTTTGACTATAGCAGAATCTTATATCCGAATTTTCAAGACTTATTGTTCCTTCTTTTTTTTAATTAGTTAAGCAAGATGTACAAACTTACGCATACGTTTAGATAAAATACATATTGTATCACATCAATTTCTAGCTATAATGCATAAATCAGTGTTTAAATGTAGATGATTTAACTTTAAGTACATGGTCGATCGTTTGTTGAATGGTGTCGAGTGGATGTTTTATATTATTATTTGTCCCTTGGGTTCTTAATGGAACATAGGGATTCAGTAGCACGTCTCCAGTGCACTCTCCTCTCTTCAAACTTCTGAACCTGGTTCCACGACAGTCCACAACCTCTCATTTCCTCCTCACACGATCTCCTCCACGTCACCTTAACCTCGGGCGCCCAACTCGTCGTTTCCCATTTGGGTTCCAATCCAGGACGTGGAGCATGATATCCCCAGTTGGCCTTCTCAGTGTATGCCCACTTCAATCCATCTCCACTTTCTTCCAGTGCATATTTGTTGGGTGATAGCTTCTTGCTTCGTTGGTACGTCACTATCCAGAGTTCCTTGTTGCTTATTCTTATTATTCTGGCCATCTCATCTTCAGTTACGAGCGTAGGTAGTTGTTGATGAATGTTTGTAGTTTGTTGGAAGTGTTTTTCGTGACACGCCAAGTTTCTGAATCATATAGAAGCACTGACTTGACTGACATTAGTGTTAAAAATCCGGATTTTGTTTTTTGTGCTGAGTGCAGAAGATCTCCACACTGGTTTCGGGCTAATGAACGCTGACCTGTCTTGCTGTCTTTCCAATCCTGGCTGACTTTGACGTCCTCGTCTGTGCCTGTGTCACCTGTAGTTGGAACAGTGCTGCCTAGATAGGTGAAGGAGGCTACTTCCTTTAAGTTTCTCCCATTGATGGTGATTGGAGCTTGTTGTTGGTTGGGTATCATCATCATCTCTGTCTTCTCTACGTTCACCCGGAGGAAGTCTCGTCTTCACTGCCTCATCTGTCAACTTGTTGGATTTCGCCTGTAGATCTTCAAGTTTGTGGATGTTTTATATAGCCAACCCAAATATTGTCACAAAGCAGTACATACTTTTAATCTCCCATTTTAGTATGTAATAACCTGGAAGAAAAAAGTAAAAGCATCCAATTGAAAGACTTAATGTTCTGAAATTTACGATGTCAGTATTTGATAGTTCATAAAGGTGTGTAAAAATTACCTTCACAAATAAGTCGGTAAAACTCAGCATGTAATGAAGTTCAATGAGACGCGTCCTGTGTGAAATGATTTCTGTCAATTAGGGATGTTTTACAAACCTGTACTGTATTTGGGTATGATGAATACAGGCATTCAGTTAGACCGGGTGGTAGTTCGTGAAATTAGTCTGGTTGTGTTTTCAGACAAATTAACATGAAATCTGTCAGCGGAATACATCAGTTCAAGTGGCCAGACTTCATAGTAGCAGGCAAAGAAGAAGTAGATCGAAATTGTAGGAGAAATTGTGTGACAGAAAAGAAAATAATCATGTGAAAGTTAATGAAAGTATTTGCGACTTCAAAGATGGAAAGGAATAGATACATATCTGGGCCACTGTGGCCTGTTTTGAGCTATGTCACTAAGAGTCTGTAATCATTGGTTCCTACCGTTTTGAAGATCCCCATCAAACATTCTACACCTGGCTGTGTGGCAGTGATTTTAATTCTGTTTTAACAATGCGTGTCGTGGTACGTGAAGGTTCAGCATGCGCAACACATGTCCAAAGTACCTCAGTCGGTAAAGGCTATCAACTTAACAAACAGACTTGCCAAACTTGTGCAGTACTATAAAATCTGAAGTTAACTTTGTTCACACAGTGATTTAACCACACGAGAAAAGTCTCAAAAATATGTAGGCTGTTCATATCTTCTACTTGGAAGGGCCTTATCCCATACGTTCAGTGGAATAGAAAGAGCTGCTTTACTGTAAACTCATCTTTTGATATGTAAGCGAATATCTAGCCTATGTCACAACGTAAATTGTTATCGCATCAGCTTTATCCAGTAAGCATTGAGTTCTAAGATGAGTTGGCTGGAAAAGATATCAGTAGGTATCATATTCTGGTATGATCTGAAATGTTATCATTCGTTTATTTTCTCATCATCCTGATCACGGAGACCATGTGACATAGTCGCTTGACACATTGGAAACGGCTATCCTTCTGTCTTATCTATTATTCTGTTATTCTCAATGCTTGCACTGAAACTGGTTTAGTTCAGGTTTCATGAAGTTGCTTTCTTGGTTGTAGAGTTGTGATTATTTTAGGTCGCTTGTGTAAAGTTTTTAGTGTGATGAAGACATTAAATCCTTAACTACTAAGCCACTTGTTCCAATGGATTATACCCCTTGTGTCTGTTAATTATGTAGGGTTTATTGCTGAGTACGCAGTTACTCAGCTACCACAGATATATGTTTAATCGATTTCCCGTTCATACGCGATTTAGGTTGTAATAAATTTGGTGGCAAGGTTTATAGAACAAGACGAATTCATCTTTGTTTCACAACTTTGAAACAGCTGCAGATTACCTGAAACTGTATTCGTTATTAGAGTGTCCTAGTAAAATCCTTCAATAAAAGTGTAAACGGTCACTCAGAGGAAATCGTCGATTAGTGGAACCAGACTATCATGAATGTAGAAATTGGGAATTACATACTACGATTTAAACTACTCTATGTATTTATGTTTGATTAGAGATTTCTGGAATGTAGAGTGAGAAAAACGAATTCAGTGAAGGGAAGAGGTAGAACTATCCCGAAGGTATTCAGTCCATAGCAAAAATGACGATCTCAGGATTGGAATTAACCAAGTTACAATCAGCAATATGAACGAAAGCAAGTGGTTATACCACTGAGATATAAGACTAAAATATTAACATTAATAAGGGGAAAATACAATTACGAATCGATTGGTGGTTGGACCACAATCACTTTTTTTATGCATACATTCAATTAAAAATGCATTTCACAAGACCTCCTATGAAACAGAAACCTCGTGTCATTCACTCCACATTTATTGTTTTGAAGGCTTCGTAGATGTCAACTTGGCATATTATATCCATGATTTCATGTTAGTTAATTTCAACCTTGTGATCATTTCTACGATGCTGGTTGCACTAATTTACATTATCTTCTGTATGACTACTGGAACTTGTATATCTGAATTGTATTCTAGCCATTGTAATTTCAGGCAGTCTATAGCCAATGAAAAGTCGAGAAATAGAATAAATCCATTTTCTTCGACAAATTTTGTCATTCTTTCTCACTTCATATCTTCAAATGATGAATGTTATACTGCTTTTGCTATATACCCCTAATTTGTTTGCTGTTTTACCCATGACCTTAACCTACATGACTGTTTTCACACTTTTACTAGTTTTTCCTCCCTCTGCTCTCAAGGCTGAAATGTTATTAGCTGTCAACTATTTTTACCCATATGTGGACTTCGTATTGTCAAAGTCATTTAGAAATGCATGTATTCAGCATCGTTGTAAACTTTATTGACTGTTGTTGAGACATTGAATTTTGAGGGAGTTGTGAGGATTTGGAAATATTTCAAGTTATCGTTCATCATAGACTGACATCAGTTGGAGTAACAAAGGAAACCTGGGGGCACTGGACAGCTGTTTGGTCACACTAGTATGGGACTCCTCAGCAGTTCTCACCCACGACCCCGTCAGGGATCGAACCCATGACCTTCAGGTTCCATGGCCAGCACGTTACCATTGAGCCACTGGGTCAGAATCGAATGCTCCATGTTTCCAGCTTCTGTTAGCTCACGATATAGCGCAACCGCCACCCAATGTCATCGTTGAGTAACTGTCCTCACGACCATTAGGCTTTGCCCCCACCGGTCACGACTTCTCACTGGAACTTCTGACCCAGTGGCTCAATCGTAACGTGCTGGCCACGGAACCTGAAGGTCGCGGGTTCGATCCCTGACAGGGTCGTGGGTGAGCACTGGTGAGGAGTCCCATACTAGTGTGACGAAACAGCTGTCCAGTGCTACCAGGTTTCCTTTGTTCCTCCAACTGATGTCAGTCTACGATGAATAACAACTTGTTGTTGAGACAGTAAAAAGTCCTCTGTCAACGGTCTGTCTTCTCTTCGTACGTCCGTGGTATTGTTGTTGCTGTTTTTGTGGTGGTGGTGGTTTAACATTCTGATTTCCGTTAGAGTCGATTCGCTTGCGCGTTAGGTTCATATCGTTCGTAGTCTACTAGGCTCGTAGGCTGTTAGGTCGTATTACCGGTCATAGCAGCGTTACAACGTATGGATTTTTAATTATGTATATTTTCAGTATATCCAAACTGATCATTAATTTTTGAGATTTTCAGTTAGTTATAAAGGACAGTAATTTTTTATCTTTCGGATATTCTGCTAGTCAGTACTCTCTGAGCTTATGTTCTCAATGGCATATGCCCTTTCAGAGTTTACTTCTCATGAAGCTCTACTAACAAACTGTATTGAAAAGGGATATAGAGTATTATCTGAGCGTTTTATAAAGAAGTATTTTCATTTAATTTGTGTACGACCCAATGGATGTCAACATTTGAACTTCCTCTATACTTTTCGCTTGGGCATGAGCTGCGCGTGTTGAGCCAACCTTGACGCTGAATGCAAGTGGAAGTTGAATTAAGTTGGACGAAGGCTCAGGGTGACCAAACTAGAACGTAACAGCAGTCCATGACTATTTTTCCAAGTAGTGTAGGGTTTACAGTGCCTTGTTGCTGCCTCTGAGACGACAAGAATCAATGGTTGAGGACTGTTGGTGACATGTCTGAAAATTGGCCTTAATGGCGATGTATACATTTCTTAACGTCTTCCAAGGCTGGAATATTTGCACAGACCCAAATTTTTTAAAT